TATTTATTTTGTTGTTGTTATGTGCCGTTGCATTGGACCTGTCTCATAGCGACCCCTCTTTGGGTTTCCGATGGAGCAGTATCACTACGGCCATAGATTGCCCCATCTTCCTTCTGAGGAGTGGATAGTGGGGTTGAACTGCCAGCCTTCTGGTTAGCAGTCAAATGCCTTAGGCACTATGCTACCAGAGCTCCCTCATTATCTAATCAATATTTTTAAATTGTGACAATTCGTATGTTTTTTGTGCTGAATTTTTATAACCTGTGTACTTTATGTGAATAGCGCATTGCAGTTCAAACTATCCACATTTCAAGTGCTCAGTAGCCATTTGTAACCGGTGGCTGCCATACTGGATGCACAGTGTATTTAATATAAATAGCAGTACTGTTCTGGTGTATGATGTATTGCAAGAAATTAATCTTGGGTTTCCTAGTGGTAGAAAACAAGATTTTACTTTATATTATCAAAACTAAAAAACATGCAAATATTTATGTTATATACCAAACAAGTAAAAATGTACATAACATAACTTACTAAAGTGATTGCTGTGCTTTATAGAGAGGAGTACCCTGGAAAGTATCAAAGAGGGAGTTTTGAAAATCAAAGAAGAACCATCTAAAATACTATCTGGAAACAAGTTTCAAGACCGATACTTCGTTTTACGAGATGGGTATCTATTTATGTACAAGGATTTGAAGGTATTTATATATGAAATACTTGTGTTTGTATACATTTTTATTTCTGTGGGTGTTGGCATTCTTATTTTGTACTACTCTCAACACTCTTGCCTTTCTTGCCTTTTTCTGAAGTCACAGCCTGGTAGTAAGTAAATGCATATAGTAAGCTGATGCTCTCATTCAGCCTTCTGCTTATGACATCCATGCTTTCAGTAGCGCACTGAAGAGTGTCCTATGTCCTCTCTAAGCATCTCGCATTGAGAATGACTTTAGCCCTCAAGAAAAATCTAAATATTTGGTACATAAGCTAGCCTGTAGGTCAACGCAGTGAATAAAATTATGAGACAATGTGTCATACCCTAAGACAAAAGTAGCTTGAGTTTAGTTAATGGAAATTCATAAAAGCTGGAACAAAAGAGCCAAAACCCACAAGTTAAAATTAATGTTACTAATATATTTCTTACACATTTTAACTAATTGGCTCTTGTAATGTCACATTTATTAATTGTATCTTCTTAATATTCCCATAGGTTTGAAGTAATTAATAAAAAGTTTTATTAAACAATTGTCAAATGGAGAAGGGGAGTAAAGATGAACAATGGGGAAGACCCAAGTGATTTAGCTGGAAGATTGTTGAACTCAGCATCAGAAAATCTTAGCTCTGTTAAGATGCATTATGTGAACGCTTAACCTCGCCACCTAAGTTTCTTAATCTGTATTACGGTGATGATAGTAGGGGTCCTCCGTACCAGGTGGTTTTGATGCTTAAATAAGAATATATTTAAATATTGTTTTTAAACTGAAACATGTAAAATGTTGTATAGCAACCTTAGTATGCTTATCAATAAGCACCATTAAGGTATGAATAGGCACACCACGGACAGAGAAATATATTCACACAGACACACACACACACACACACACACACACACACACACACATATATATGTCTGAAAAAGAACTCATATCTAAGTTATATAAAGAAATCTCCTACAAATAGACTATAAAAAGACAAACCAGTCTGAGATAAGGTGTGTTAGATTAGGAATGGCCTATAAGCCATTGAAACAAAAGTTCTTAGCATGAATAGTCATCATGGAAATGCAAATTAAAACCACAGTGTGATACTATTTTACACCCATTGGTGTAACTAAGGGGATCATTGGGTGGTGCAAATGGTTACACACTGGGCTACTAACCAAAAGGTTAAGGGTTGGAGCTCACCCAGTGTTGCCATGGAGGAAAGACCTTGCGATCTGCTTCCAGTGTAATTTGTGCTGTGAAATATGTGGAGTCACCATGAGTCTGAATCAAATTGATGGGAACTGGTTTAGTTTTTATTTTTGATATGATTAAAATAGGGGCTCTGGTAGCGTAGTGCCTAAGGCACTTGACTGTTAATCAGAAGGCTGGCGGTTCAAACCCACCAGCCACTCAGAAGGAAGGATGGGCAATCTACTTCTGTGGTAATACTGCCTCAGAAACCCAAGGAAGGGTCGCTATGAGTCGGGGCTGACTGACGGCACATAACAGCACAACAACAACATGATTAAAATAAAAAAGACTGACAGCACCTTAATGTTGACCAGAATGTAGATAGCAAGAACTCTCAAACTTTGGGTGGAAGAGCAAAATCACACTATCACTCGGGAGAAGAATTGAGCGGGTCTTTTTTTGTTATTGTTCTTTCTTTTTGTATGAAGTCGTTCATATGTTACCTCATGACCCCATTAGTTTCACTGCTAGATTTTATATACACAAAAAAATACATGTACAAGAATGTTGATAGCACTTTATTCAAAAACACAAACCTGAAAATGTTCCACATACCCATCAGTAGGAAAATGGTTCACTCAAAGACAGTAAAATTGTGAACCCTGGAAAAGCAAAGCAATTCTTTAAAGTTCCGGCTCTCACAGTTTTATTGTAGTAGTAATAGTGTTAGTGCTGGTCTTTAGTAGTGGTAATAGCAAAATAGTCACAGTAGCAGTAGCATATGTTCAAGGCCTTAGTCTGTGCCAGTCAGACTTCTGCTCATTTAACTTGGCTTATCTCACTTTAAGGAGCTCTGGTTTCACAGTGCCTATGGCATTTGCTGCTAACCAGAAAGTTGGTAGTTCAAAACCCACCAACTGCTCAGTGGAAGGAAGATAAGGCAGTCAGTCTACTTTCATAGATTTACCTCCTGGAAACCCAGTGAGGGTCCCTATGAGTCAGAATCAACTCAATGACAGTGTTTTTTTCTTTTCTTTTTTTTTTGGTTTTGTCTCATTTTATCTTTACAATCACCATGTGAAATCTTATTATCACTCCCACCTTAGAGATAAAGAAATTGAGTCACAAAAACATTGTATAACTTCCCCAAGATCACATAGCCAGTATGTGATGGAGCCAGGTGTCTAATCCCCAAAGGCTCTATTCAAGGACTTACTAAGGAAATTTATTTTGCATTATTTTAGCTTGGTGTTTGTGCTACAGAATTTTATTCGAAAAGTTTCTTAAAATTTAAATAGTACCAAATACTTTCAAATGTTAAAATGACACAATTGAGTATTGTATGGTGTTTTCCCTTAAGCAAGAAACCCTGATGGCACAGTGGTTAAGCACTTGACTGCTAACCAAAACGTGAGTCAGAGTCTCACCTTCCTCAGTTTTGAGGAGCATTCTGGTTGTATTTCTTCCAAGACAGATTTGTTCATTATTTTGGCGGTCCATGGTATATTCGGTATTCTTCCCCAACACCGTAATTCCTATTACAGCCTTGGAAACCCTGTGAGGCTGTTTTACTCTCTCCTAAAGGGTCACTATAAGTTGGAATTGACTGTGTCACCAAGTTTGTGTTTTGCTTTCCTTAAGCTGACATAAGCTTTAAAATCAGGCACAGGAAGCCTGTGAAGGAGAATCGACTCTTATACATAGGTTGTTCTTATAAGTGAAATGAGAAATCTCATACCCCTTAGCAGAATATGTTTTTAAAATGTTATCAGAATTTATATCTTCTTCAAACGATAGTCCTGCTCAGTCTAAAGACAAGTCATGTAAATTGACAGACAGTGACAGCATCAAGAGATTGCCCAAAGGACAGTGCTGTTTAAGGATACTGAACATTTTTTTTTCTTTCTTTTTTATTTTTTAATCGCCATTACCTCAGGTTATGGGATTATAGTCTAATTATTTAGAGTTAAAAAATATTTGCACATTAGTCGGAATAAGTGAATGCAACTGATAACTTTAATTTTCACATTAAAGCGTGCAAGTGAGACAAGTTTTCCTTGAATCTGAAACTGCTATTTTTATCAAGAAATTATTTTCTTTTCCTGGTTATTTTTCTATTTACTGATCTCTTCCTATGTTATCGATGGTCAGTCATTGGCAATGTTAATGCTTCAAATGAGTTTGCAATAGATAAATCAATAGTAAAATGCCCCAACTTACTTCAATTTGGCTCTGGTTTTGGGAGTTGCCATTAATATGTGTGTGCTTGAATAGATGTAGTGAGTGAATTGCTGAGAAGGAAGTAGAAGTTACAAATTGAGAAGTGTATTGAAAGAGACTGTGTGTTAATTAGAGATAATTTATGAATGCTCATTAACAACAAATTAGGGTATTGCACAGGGGAAGATATATTTTCTTTGAGGAGTTTTACTTGCATAGAAAATGTTAATTAAAATATTTTTAGACTTGATTTAAATAAAAGGTGAGAGGTTTCAAAGAATATTACCATTGCACTGTTAATGGTGTGAATAAGCAAATGGCTAAGGGGTGTTCTCCAAAGATACATGTGCTATTAAGCAAAGCCCTTTTAGTTGCAAAACTATTTCTAAGCACACGAATTTAATTGGCTTACTTAAAACCTTTATTTTGAAATATAGTGACTGAGACAACACACTCCAGATTTCATAATACTCCACTGCATTGAACTTTTGGAAGAGATTTTCCTGGATATACAAATCTCAGAAGACCAGATTGTGAGAGGTGAACATAAAGTGTCTTGCAAACAAGATTTCCCCCTGTAAATTTTCTTTTAGGACCTTTATGTTCTTGTTAGTAGTTGCCCTCCAGTCACGGCATCCCCAGGTGTAGAACAGAGCTGCTCCACAGGGTTTCAAGGCTGCTCTCCTTTTAGAAGCAGATGACTAGTCCTGTCTTTGGAGGGGCCTCTGGATGGATTCCAACTGCCAACTTTTAACTAATATTTGCTCGAGCGCTTGACTTTTTGTGCCACTCAAGGAATTCATACTTACTTGCGTATCAGGGTTTAATTTGTCATAGATATGATATCATAAATGCATATTTAAAAGAGAGATTATTCAATAAATAAGGCTAACATAGTTGTTAACAAAAACTTTTAAATTCTCACCTATAAACCAGACCAAAGTACTGCCACCAAGTCGATTCTCACTCATATTGACCCCCCCCCCCAATTGGGTTTCCAAGGCAGTAAACCTTTATGGAAGTAGATTGTGCCATCTTTCTTCCAAGGAGCTGCTGGTGGGTTTGAACTGTGGAACCTTCTCGTTAGCAGTCAAATGCCTTAGGCATTATGCCACCAGAGTGCCTATAATATACATAAAAAACTTTCTAAATTGATACAAGATTTACAACTTTATATTTAGCAAGCTTTAAAACTACATGATCATTTCCTTCAGTATTTATCAGCTATATGGGAGAATTTTAAACATGATGAAAAGGTAAGGAAGTACAAAAGAGAAGATCAAGGTATTTGAATTCATAAAAATAATGAAAGTGTGCAACTAGCAAACTTAAGGTAAACAGCAATTTGGATAGACTATTTCATTAAAGAAGACAACAAATTTTCATATGTAATATATAAAGAACTAATGCAGACAAATAAATGAAGACATGGTTAATTTTTTGATCAGGTCAAAACTGAAAATGACTACCAAATACATGAACACATTTAACTGTAAGTAAATCAATTGAGCCACAATCTCATTCAGAACCCTGTTCCTAGCTTTTCACTCAGTTATTCCATTTCTGGAAATCTAGCTACTCAAGATAGAAAAATCCAAACTGTTTTAAAATAATATTATCTACAACAATAACAATAGCAAAGTTATTGATGATAATGATTAGGAGTAAATTCACCAGGGAAACCTCAGGCCTTTTAACCACTACTACAGAAGCCATTAGTTGCCAAAACATTATTCCTGATCTTCCTGGATATTTTTTCTTCTCTGTTTTCGCTGTATACTCCTAATCCATTTCCTCCATAGAAATATTTTTAATTTGGTAAACATATTTTCCACCCTTTACTTTTTAAATTCAAGACAGCTTTCATAAAGAGAAGCGTACTAATACTTTAAGTTTCACAGAATTTAGTATCACATTGAGGTGCATATGTACTAAGTGGACTTCTGTGTGTTGTGTTGTCATGCAATCCTAACTACTGTCTAGATTGCTGTTTTTATGAAGTAATGTGTTTAAAATTCCTAGAAAGAATGGTCTAGATGGTGGTTATGATTGCATGACAACAGAAAAGTCCACTTAGCATCATACATACCTTAATGAATTACCAAATTCCATGAAGGTTAAAGTATTTATATTTTGTATTTCCAGTAAATTTACTATATGCCAGTTACTAAACTGAAGAGCCACTCCTCGGAAGGAAGGTTGGGCAATACTACTTCCATAGTGATACTGCCTCGGAAACCCAAGGAGGGGTCGCTATGAGTCGGGGCCGACTCAACGGCAAATAACAACAACAACAACAAACTGAAGAAGTTCTGATTGCCTAGTGGTTACGGCATTTGGCTGCTAACCAAAAGTTCAGTACTATGAACCTACTAGCTGCTCTGTGGGAGAAAGATGTGGCAATCTGCTTCCATAAAGATTTACAACCTTGGAAATTCTATGGGGCCAGTTTTACTCTGTCCTATAGGATTGCTGTGATTCGGAATTAACTCAGTGGCAGTAGGTTTGGTTTTGGCTTTTATTACAGGGCTTTTTATAGACATTTTCTCCTTTAATCTTCACAATAACCTTTCTTCTCATTTAATAGTCACAGTAACTCTGTGAAACAGTTGGTATTTTTAATCACTGTGTATACCTGAAAGGAGCTCTGGTGTTGTAGTACTAAGGCATACAACTGCTCACCAGAAGGCTGGCGGTTCAAAATCACCAGCCACTCCATGGAAGAAAGACGGGGCAATCTACTTCCTTACAGATTTACTGCCATGGAAACCTAATGGGGGTTGCTCTGAGTTGGAATCGACTTGACGCCACTGGGTTATGTATATAGGAGCCCACGTTGCGTGATGGTTAAACACTCAGCTGCTAACCTAAAGGTCAGCAGTTTGAACCCACAAGCCATTCCCAGGGATCTAACAGTCTGTTCCTGTAAAGATGTCAGTCTAGGAAACCCTATGGGGCAGTTCTACAGTGTCGTATAGGGCTGCTGAGAATCCATGTCAACTTGATGGTGTACAACAACAACAACAACAACAAAAGTCATTGCCCTTGAGTTGGATCCAACTCATAGAGACCCCTCCTTGGGTTTCTGAGGAGGTATCAGTACAGAAGGAGATTGCCCAGTACAGAAGGAGTGGTTGGTGGATTTGAACTGCCAGCCTTCTGGCTAACAGTCAAATGCCTTAGGCACTGCACCACCAGAGCTCCCTACAACAAGAACCATATGTACAAACAAGAAAATCCAGTTTAGAAGAAGTAATGCGAGTTACACACTAGTAAATAGTAGAAAGGCTGATTTGCACCCAGATCTCTCTGACCTCAACCCTTTGCTCTTAGTTATAAATGCAATCTACCTACAAGTTTAAACCAGAGATTTACTTGTGAGTTTTGGGGATGGTGGGAATGGTTGTGTTATAATATCTACATAGAATCTATTGTAAGGTATCTAAACATAAATAATAAAATATGTGTGGTTTTGATATTAAGTTTT